AAAAGTGGTCATTGTTAGAACCATATATGATTTCAGGAAAAATGAATACTAAAAAAAATTCAACCTAGAAGAAGGAGAGGATAGAGGATGAAAAAATATATTGAAGTACTAAATGTACTGATTAAACAGAAGGAAATTTGTAGCATAAGTAAGGATCCATATATATAGTGCCCAATATACACATTGCCTACAACCTGAAAGATTGAAATCAAACATTCATATCCATCAAGTGAAAACCTTGAACTATCCAAGGAAGTTTGTAGTGATAAACGGTTCATCATATAAATAATAATAATAATAACTTGAAGATTTGAAATAAAGATTTCTTTGGGTAAAATTTGAATTTACATTAGACATCGAGTCCTGAACGGTGAGCTTAAGAGCATTAGAAAAGATCATATATTACTAGAATAAAAAATAATATTAAATATAACAATAATTTATAGAACTCATAATTAATTTTATATTGAGTAAAATATAATAAAATGTGGGGATCAATAATAGTCATTTAATGATTTAAAGAGTGCTTAATAAATGACCAGCTCCAAATTTCATATTAAGCAATAAATTTTGGTTCTACAATTTGGCTGAAGAATAAAATTATTTAACTATTATATTGCTATAAGTTGTATTTTATTTTTACTAGTATTGTTTAGTCTAAGGATATTTATTCTTTTTAAAATTTCAAAATTGTGTATAAGTTCTATATACTTCTCTTAAAAACCTGGGAAGATAAATTTTAAAGCGTAGATTTAAATTACGTATATATTCATTATTTAAAATATTTTCTTTCTTTTTCCAAATAAACCTTTCCTTTTTCAATTAACTATATTAAACCGTAAAGGTTGGATTCATTAAATTTTATAATAACCATTATTAATTTTAATTTAACTCTTAGATGTATCAATATTTTATATTATTCATCATCAAACTGGCATATTATCTAATAATTTTATTTTAGAGTTATTAGCAACACCCACACATGGGTATAATTCTGATGATGTATCTATATCCCATTACTAATATTAGATATTATATTTACAATAAATGTTGCTTATGGATTATTCTATCTACTCCATTTAATGTATTTATGTTCAATACATACTTCAATTATTATTATATCGTTAATCGCAAATGCAAATGATAATTTTTTTGATTCTAGATCCTTTATATGATGGGAGTAAGTGTAACCATCTTAGTGAATTAAATATGCTCTATTATGATATAAATTTATACCCAAAGCCAGCTTTATAACAATCCTTATAACCATTTTTCTACATTATCTCTCTAAACCCAATTCCAAACATTACATGTTATCCACTAATCAGTTAGAATGCAAATGATATCTTTCCAGTCTTTGGAATTGCTTATTCACAAAGACAATAATACCAATAACTATTACTTACTTCTGCCACAACTTTTGCATCTTCACTGATTTAACAATTATTATGCCTATAAGTATTAGAAAATGATAATGATTTGTTATATTATTGAAACTAAAAGTAAAAGTATAAATATACTTTTTCTATTTCCATTTTAATTTATTTTTCTTATTCTAAACTAACTTTATTAATTTAATCAAGTTTTGTTAATGCTTCTTGCAACTCAGAATTTTTTTAAGTTAAATTTTGAATAAACTCCTATTTTTCTAGAATTTCTTTGGAATGATAAATAAACTATTACATTCATCTTAAAATTTCTTTTTATCCTATTCATATTACTTTTTCATGTTTATGTTATCCTTAATAGCTTTTTCAAATTATTCTTTTATATCTTGTTCTTCTTTCTCCTTTTATTGTAACTAATTATTTGTCTCATTGAGCTTCTACTCAAATGATTTTTACATAGAATTAATTAAACTATCTTCTATTGATAATGAAATAGCTTTACTTTCAATTTCCAAATTTCTATTAGTTTCTTTTAATTTTACTACATCATTCTCCAATGATTTAATCATACAATACTTTTTCAATTATATACTATTTTTATCAAAAGTATTCACATATTAATTTAATATAACTGTTAATTTAGAATATAAGGATTTTAATTATTCTGATTTCACCGCTTAATCATATTATTTAATTGATATATTTTATTGGATGGATTCCATCTTTTAAACATGCTGTTAATAAACCATAATCGTTTAATCAAATAGATTTAATTGACACTGATATTTTTTTGCCTAATCAATCAATTCTTAAATTTCTTTGATAAAATCAATAAGGTTTTTGTAGTTTTCATCCTTTTATGCACATTTTTAAATATCTAGAATCATATCAATCAATTAAATAATTAAATCTTTTTCAACTATACAAAATTAACTAATTTGATACTTGAAACTTCTTTCAATATTTCCAACGATTATTAAATATTTTATTAATCATGCTCTAGCAAACATTCTAAATGATATTGAAGGTCTCTTTTGAAAATCTAATCTTTATTTTTAAAGTTTGTAATTATTTGACTTTATGATACTTTTTCCTTTTCTTTTCCAATTAGTTTCCTTAAATCCTTCAATAATTATTCATCATCTAATGTTTTAATTGAAATATTTTTTATTTAATTGGTCTGTTTCATCTTATCTATGCTTAAGAATTATTGAGTAATCAATTTTTCACTTATTTCATTCAATTTTGTATTATAATTCCTTCTCATTTGTCCTAATTAGTCGAATAAAACATATTTTTTTTCTTTGCTTTCCTTTTTATATTCTTTTAATATCTTTTCAGTTTCCATATTGTATTCCTTCCATTACTTATCTATATTTTCAATAGTTTGATATTTAATCTATGGATTTTCATAAATACAATCCACGCATGCAAATCTATCTTCTATTTTTTATTTTTATGAATCCATATCAATCATAATTATTTCCTTTTTATGATTACTACAAATTCTACTTAAACTTGGTGTTTTCTATTAATAATAAATTTTATATACAGAATCATTTTTGTTTATATTTGAAGGAAAGAATTCGATTAAATCATTTTCCATGATATCTTTAATTGTTTCTTTTATATTTTTAAAGGTGTCTACAGTCTAAAAGTATTCAGTACTATTGAATAAGAGTTCAAATTGTCTTTATATTTCCTTGATAAAATGATCATCCTCTATTAATTTAGGTGATTACAATTGTTCTTAAGAATAAAATTGAGATAACTATTTTAAATCTTCAAAGTAATTTAATTATGATTCAAATTCTTATAACTCTTATTTTTCTTTTTAAATCGGAAATATATATTATTGTATTTATTTATACATCTTCTCCAAAGAATTATCAATTGATTATTTAAAATCCATAATTTGATCTAATATACTTTTATAATATTTGAGCCTTGTTGAGTTCTCCTTAATTTTGATATCTTTTATTATGACTTTACTTATTAGATTCTTTCTTTGGATTACTCTATAGTAGTCACCTTATTATTATTTAATTTCTCAACTAAACATTTACCACAAAAGAATTAAATCTGTGCCTTATCTGATAAATCTAAATCAACTGCAATCAATTCTAGATTATGAATTTTGCAAATTGTTTCTTATGTTTCCAGTGCTTATTTTTGATTTAAGATATTCATTTTGTTTGAATTTAATTATTGTAATTATAATCATATCACTCTTTATTTACAATTATCATAATTCCATTCTAATTCTATCATTTAATTAATATCAAATGTTATTCACTGCAAATTTAGACAAAAACAGATATTATTATTGATTAGATGTTCGTTAAAACGATAAATATGCATTCAATCTCCTATTTTTAGAAGATAATTAATATACATGAAATATTTCTCAAAATTCAATTATTCATTTGGAGACCAATAAGTATAACTTCTCTTCTTATAAACATTGAATCTCCATATNAGAATGTAATATACTTACTTTTACATTTTCTTTATTATTTAATTATCCTAAATCCTTCAACAATTATTCGTCATCTAATGTCTTAATGGAAATATTTTATATTTAATTAGATTTTTTTTTCCCCATCAATTCTTAAGAGTTATTCACCAATCAATTTTTCCCTTATTTCATCCTTTTATTTTATTATTATTCCTTCTCGTTTGTCCTAATTGATTGAATAATTCCTTTTTTATATTCTTTTAATATCTTTTAAGTTTTCGTATTGGATTCCTTCCATCACTTATCTATATTTTCATTAGTTTGATTTTTAATTTATGGATTTTCATATATACAATCCTCAAATGTGTCAGCAGTCTAAAAGTATTCAGAACTATTGAATAAAAGCTCGAAATGACTTTATATTACCTTAATAAAATGATTATCCTCTGTTAATTTTTTTGATTATTATTATTCTTAAGAGTCCAATTCAAATAACTATTTTGTTTATTTTTATATCTTCAAAATAATTTCATTATGATTCAAATAGTTATAATTCTGATTTTTCTTTTTAAATTGAAAATATATATTATTATATTTATTTATACATCTTCTCCAAAGAATCATCAATTGATTATTTAAATACATAATTTGATCTAAAATATTTTTATAAAATTGAGTCTAACTTAATTCTTGCTAGTTTTGATGTCTTTTTATTATAAATTTATTTATTAAATTCTCTCTTTGGATTACTTTATAGTAGTCACCTTAATATTATTTAATTTCTCCACTTAACATTTACCACAAAAGAATTAAATCTGTGCCTTATCTGATAAATCTAAATCAACTGCAATCAATTCTAGATTATGAATTTTGCAAATTGTTTCTTATGTTTCCAGTGCTTATTTTTGATTTAAGATATTCATTTTGTTTGAATTTAATTATTGTAATTATAATCATATCACTCTTTATTTACAATTATCATAATTCCATTCTAATTCTATCATTTAATTAATATCAAATGTTATTCACTGCAAATTTAGACAAAAACAGATATTATTATTGATTAGATGTTCGTTAAAACGATAAATATGCATTCAATCTCCTATTTTTAGAAGATAATTAATATACATGAAATATTTCTCAAAATTCAATTATTCATTTGGAGACCAATAAGTATAACTTCTCTTCTTATAAACATTGAATCTCCATATTGCTTAAAAGAAATGGAAATAATATAATGATAAAGCTCAACATTCTATTAAACAAACGGAATGGCTTAAGACCATGTTGTTAGAAATCTTGAAATAGAATGTTCTGACCTATCCGTTTAACTAGTGAGTGGTTTTACATTCTTAGAATTATTTTACCTGAATAAAAGTTTCAGATGTTTAGCTCAAGAAGAAGTGATGCTATTTGAGAATTTGGAAACTAATTATTATATAGAAATTGAAAAATCACATTTTATGCAATTATAAAACATTTTCATCAAAAACCCATTAGATGCATATACATTGAGAATAACAAAGAGTGAAATTGTTATAATTTTTTTATTATTAAAACTACTTTTAAAGAATATTTTTAATATAATTTAAAATTTTTACAAAAGTCTTCTCCTCCTTCAAAAATAACAGCAGAAAAGTAATTTGAAAGTATTTACTAAGTTTAAAATTTAAGGTTTATTCCCTAACAATCTATGAGAATCCAAATTTTCCTTTTGAGAACTTATCATTCATAGATGTGAATGTATTCAGTATCATTTTGAGTTTAGAAATTTAAGATCATATTTTACTTTAAATATGCAGAATATTATTTAGTTAAAATAATGTTAATGTAGGCGCTAAAACATTATTTTTATATACTTTAATTTGAATTGATAAGGGCTTGTGAAAAATTAATGTAAGTTTGAAATACATTTTAAAGTATGCAAGGTTATTGTAAAACTTTCTTATTGGAATAGGGAATAGCCTTATAGGGATTAGATAAATAAATAGTTTCATTTAGAATCTTATTGAACAATTGATTAACTTGAGTACTTATTACAATTTGCTATATTATTTTCTTCTATAATTCAGTTGGAATAATGGAAATATATATCAGCTTATTATTCAAATGAATTTTTTTTTGTCAGCGAAACCTCATTTATCTAGTGCTCCAAGATCCAATACATACGTATATTGATAAACTCTTCTCAAAAAATCATAGTTACTATAAGTATGAATGTTAGTTCAGAGTTATAATAAAGTCTATAATCTTCACTTAAATTAAATTTTGATAGTTTCTTGTTGACATGAGTATCATAATATAATTGGCAAAACATTAATTCTAAATTTTATAAATTATAGAATTTATTTTATGCTAATGAAAACAGTCTACAAATACAATAATAAAGAAATTAAATGAGTAAAATAAAAAAAAATATCTTATTCTTATAAATGTGATAGATTGATACAGTCACACACACTATAATATCTAGAAATGAATCACTTTTGAAAAATAAGCCTCATTATCACTGAGTTTAATAATAAACAAATCAACCCATCGTAAACCAAATGTATGCTTGTAGTTGATCATAGTAAAATGGTGATATGATAAAGCAACGAGGAAAATCTCTGAATTTAAAATTGATTCTTCCTAGGTCATCTTGCACTATTTTAAAAGTAATTTTCTTCATTGCTGACCATCTCCAGATAAGTAAAAGAATCTTTTTTTTGACTATGATCGCTTTGAAAGTTAATCGCCTAGGATAGATTGGAAGTTGCTTACACATGCAAATGATTCTTGCGTAGATCTCATAACATCTGTGTGTTTAAACCTAAATGTTTACAATACATGATCTATGATAATGTTTAAGATGGATTTAGATAATTTCAGTAATTACTGACATTTATACATTTGTTTGAATGAATCATTCTTAATATGAGGAACTGAGTAATTATTAAAATATACTCTAAAAAATTATCAACATTAAGCCATAGTGTTTGAATGTTATATGAATCAACTTAAAAGGCGAAATATTGGGGAAAATGAGGTATCAAAACTGGACTAGATAAATTTTATTATTTTTCACTATTTTGTTATAAGTTATAATATAAAGCGTTTAACCAAAAAGCTAATTTTATAAAAGTCAGTTTAACCAATATCCAAAAGATTTGACTTATCGAGCTAATTTTCTTCCTTATATACCCCATTTTTCACTCTCAAATAAGAGATATATGCACCTTCTGTTATGGAATAGCAAGACATTTTAGAAACTTAAAGAGAAAAAGAGACATGAGATGGGCATGGATGACTTGTTTTGTATAAGTCAATTGGAGCGTAAATTTCTGAAGGAATGTGTGATAAATAAGAAATTTTCTACTATCAAACAGCAATCATTGAATGTTGTCATTTTGGGGAAACATTATATCTTTTTGGGTTAAAAGATTTTAAGGTCGAGATAAGAAAATAGCTAATTTCATTAATCAACTATAGATTAGGAAACTTCGAATAGGATGAACCTTTTGAAAGTAGTTAAGCGTTTTCAATTATCCTGGATTACATAAAATAGTATATACAGGTATAAACTATGTTTGCTCTTTCAACGACGTTGCAGCCTAGGTTTTTGCCTACTAATAGAATTGTAAAATCAATTTAAATATCGTAAGTGGGTATTTGGCCAGATGAAAGTATTGCAAGATGATTATGTCAATAATTAAGTAGATATAAGAGTTCAAACCAAAAATACAATTTTTATAAAAGTCCATGAAATTAAAAAAAAGAAGAATTGAATTAGCAATCAGGTTTATTTCAGAATAGGATGATTTTAGTGAAAAGGAAATGAATACTAGAGAGCAACAGAGAGTTGGAATTTTCTAAGAATTTCAATTTGTAGCTATGATGATATATAGGGTAAAGCCTTGATAAGCTTTCATTTTCATAGGATGAGGAAAATTGTTAAATGCTTAGAGGGTATTTTACCTATGGTTAATGGATTTTGGTCTTCCAAATCCTGCTTGTAGATTAACTTATAATGAACACTTCAAAATAAGGGCGCAGGTTTTTAACTTCATGTTTCTAAAGGGTAGATGTTTATGTGAGGGCGCTTGATGATCCTGACATGCCGATCCACGAACAAATGTTGCAAATGCAAGTCCTTTTAAGATTTTATAAATGAACCTTCAATCCTTTCTAAATGTTGAAAAATATGCTGCATTAGATTAAGAAGTCAATGCTAATAATTATTATTACTATTCAGCTTAGATATCAAACTGTCTTATCTATTAAAAAATTTAAATTTCTGATTGTTTTGATGGCTTCCTGTTAGTAAAAATATTACAATTCAGGATCACCAACCCTTATCCATCTGAGAAGGATACATCACAATCAGAATTAGTATAGCTGGGATAATAGTTCCTGATTTCATGAATGAGGTATCTGTGTGACAGAAATTGTTGCTAAAATCCAAAAATCTGCTAAATTATTGGGCAATTTAGATAAAAAATTTGGACCAAAATTGAAAACACAATAAAAATGGCACAATTTAAATACAGTATTGTAGAATATTTTTTTTAGAAAAGTAATTATTATACAACTTACACCTCCAAATAGTAATAATATGTATATCCTTTTAAACTATTAAATAATTAATATTAATCTTAGAGAATGAATACAGATTATGCATTAGAAATTTAAAAAGCATTGAGAGATTTTCATTCACCTTAATTGGGATAGCTCTTAAAATAAAAGTATGAATATTGATACCAATATTTACTAATAGAAACTGTTTAAAGAATAATAACAATTTCTTAATAGAATTTAAAATTATATCATCATAAAAAATATTACATTTTTTTAGTTATCTAAAGATTTAATCTAAGAATTTATGATAAAAAGAGTAATATTAAATGCAGGTACTAATAAAAGGATTTTCATAAGTACAAATATATTTTTAAATAATTTAGATTTAGACAAAACATAATAAGGAGTAGAGGTGCTATAAAGTTTTGCGAAATGAAATTACTATAAATATCATAATTTATAGAAAAATATCTTAATTGAAAATCCTTTGATAATTATATAATTTTAATTTTTTTATTATATTATTTGTGATTCATTATTTCGATTTCTGCTGACAAAATTCTAGATTAACAAATAAGAATACCCTTTTAATTTTAATCCATTAATCATTTGGGTTAAATTTTAATTTTCTTTCATAATATATCAGAGCTCTGAAATATTTCTGTTAGTTTTGTAAAATGTAGTAGTTTTGACTCATCTAATATAAACAGTTTACTTGATAGGAATTAACAAATACCAAGCATATCAAGACTAAATGTGTGGTTTGGATTAATAGAAAGTGCTAATTGTAGATCTTTTTCAGATTTATCATATTACTTCATTAATCTTAAACATTCTCCTATTAATATAAAATGATGAAATCTACCTTTATCACTTAAGGAAAAAACATTTTTAGGATCAGTAACTAATACTTTGTCCAACCAAATGATTGCATACTCATATTTATTCAACATTCTTAAACATGCACCTTTTAATAACATAGTATTTTCACCTTTGTTGTATAATGATTTTTAATTATTAAAATTGATTTGTCTAATAATTCTAATGCCTCATCCAATATATTTTCAATTATTAAAATAATTTGATATAGCTTTTATCCTAAAATTAATATTAAGATTACCTTCTTAATTGTAATGATCTTCAGATAATTTAATGCAATTCTCATCAATTTAATAATAATTAAATGATGATATTGTATTATTTTTTATTTATTAACATTTAATTATTAATTAAAGTATAATTATAATTATTCATGGCCCCACTAAACTTATCGTTATCGGAGTCATCTTTTTTGTTCCAACGAATCTCTATCTATATCTCAGACTACATCTTTTTGCCTTGATATTATTAAAAAAAGATAATCATAGTTATTTAATTCAAAAATTCCACTTTCTCGATAAAGGAATTAGCGTGTTGATGCAAGATTTTGTAGAAGATCCGGAGAGAATCCAATCTTACATTTTGTAAAACCTAAAAGCCTAAAGAATAGAATTAGAATTCAGCTAATTTTTCATCATTTTTTTGAAGAAAATAATTGTTCCTTAGGCTTGAAGAAACCAAAAGGTACCCAGAATTATATCAAAATCTGCTATAAATGCATTATTTTTTCTAATGCACTGAATTAAAGATATAAACTACCTAACTCTATCATAATAATTGAATCAACGGTTAGAATTTAAGGTAACTTACAATTTTACTTTGTAGAATTTCTTTCCTTATAATAAGACATATAAACTAAGAAAATAAGTGAATTTATTTAAGTTTTCTAAATTATTGAATTTAATTATATTTCACATTCGCTACTTCTTGGTTCAGCATAATATTGATGGTTTAACTTCATAGCATGCAATTTTGCAGCTCGGCTATGTGAACAAAATATATAAAGCAGAAGAGTTACTCAAACATTAAGTAAGCACACAATTTTAGAGAGCTTCATATTGCAAATAATGATGTATGTTTATCCCTCTTCTAGATAAATGGATGCAGGTAGTTCAATTGGCTTCACAACTTTTGTGCCTCTATATACTTGTGATTCTTATTTATGGATAGCTTAATAATAGTATCCTTTATCAAATAATAATGCTTTCATTTATCAATATTACTACTCTTAGTGTATTAAACTTGAAGTATTAAAGCATACTTCTAGAGCTAACATCTACTCTGATTCTGAAAGTCGCTATCAAAAATTAAGGCAGCTGAAGTTGAAATAGCACAATCGGATTTCTCCTATCAATAATAATGCTTGGGTAATCTCTATCAGTTGTAATTTTTTAGCCTCAATGTTACTAGTCTCATTTAGTGGATGATAATAAATTTCATTTCTATACAGCCACTAAATGTATATCTTAGAATTCTCTTCCAACACTAATTTTATGTTTGCCACTTAAGCCATTGCAATCTGAATTATCTTATGTTGTCTATTGTTTAAGTTTAGTCTGACTAGAGTTTATTGAATCTGAAATAAAATAATTATATGCTTCCATCTGTTATATTATGAGGATTACTTTTTAGTTGATTCACAGTTATTTTACAGCTCGATTCTTTGTTTGGTATTTTCTAAATTGTAATTCTTTTGTTTAAATATAAGAACTCCGAGTTGTATCTTTATCATAATTGGTGATTGAAACCTTAGCAATCTGCCCTCAATCAAATGAAATAATTAAGAATTACCAATTTGAATAAATTGAGCTTCTAAATTATTTAATCCTTAGCATTAGCTGCTGGCAGAACTAATACTTGTAATAGTTTATTAATTTTTCATTATGTGTTAAGGTACAACTTGCGGTTTAAAAATTTGAAATTCTTTGGAAGTATCGCGAATCATTCTAATGCTTTCTCAAATAGAGTGCTAGTGTTGTTAGATTCTCGGCACAACTAATGCTATACTGTCTGATACCTTTGGTGCTGTTCAACATGTGTTATATTCAACTATGAGTATGAATAAAATTTATCTATTAAATATGTTTTACTTTTGACAAGCGAAGTATAATCTTATTATATTGGCTCCTATAAAATATACCTCCACCTTTAATTTTATTACAGGAAGTTTAAAATTTGTCAATTGATGGAAGGTTTTGAAGGAGCATCCAACACCGTAATTATTTGTAAATATTGAAAGAAAGTATCTATTGCCTACAGTAAAAAACTTAGCAAAAGTATGATTTGAATGTAGAAGATATGTTTTTCAATTTGGCACTAGCATTGAATTTGATTGATATCAAGTATTTAAAACTCTAAGTAGCATGAGCAGTCATTAAAATCATCCAATAGGAATTGATTAGTTCAATATACCTAATTAGCTTTTTATTGAAGACTTCTTGTACTATTTCGCTTTGAATATGAATAACGTTTATGAGGATACAAATGGTGTACTTGGAAAACTTAGAAAAACATACTAGTCACTGGTAAGTTTTGCAGTTTCTCATACTAGGTGTGCCAACTGAATAAAATCCTGTTAAATAAACGTAAATAAAATAATATATGAAGTGCGCACTCGTAATGTACAAATAATTGTATTTTTCAAGTATTCGTAAAAATTGGAAAAGCATCGATATATGAATCTTAGTAATAAATAATCAGATTATGAAAATGAGGAGCTTGTAGATTCAGAATATTAGTAAGTAAATCACTGCAGTTGTTTGAGTTTTGAAAGATTATTACAATTTAAATTTCAGGCTTTTATTTTATATATTGTATTGCATTTATTACTAATTGCCAGCAATGAACAACAATTTCTTTTTTACTCTTCATTACTATCACTATTGCTTGCTCTTATTTTAAGTGCCTACAGCTGTTACAAAATGTTGTAAGTGATGTACTCACTGATTGCTCTACTATAGATATGCTCGATCTTCTCCTTTTCTGTATCAAAGAGCAAACATAAAAGTTGCTGCCTCTAGAATCTTTAGAATTTTTTATATCTGTATTTGCTATTTATTCTAAATAATTTAATAATTTTATTATCTTACAAATACTCTGGTAACTTTATGAGAGTCCTCAGCAACTTCACTTCATTCATTAACAGCGTTGTTGCTTACTCTCCTTTTGTCATCTAATACATATTGAGCTTGTGTTGTGTATTATTCCGTAAAACAATTTGAGCTAAAACTTAATGAGATATTTCTCTCCTTCATATAATATCAGCTATGTAAAAAATTCATGCTACAAATATTGATAGGAGGCACTTATGATTCATGTTATCGTACCTTTTCTATAAGTTTATTTGCTACTTTCATATTGGAACCAAAAGGATTAGTAAACCTGTAAAGCTGAAAATAGTAATTAAATTCAGAGTAGTGACACCATTATGTATCTGAAGATAATTCTAGTTTAGTTTGACTTGGCAGTTATTGTCTTGACAGTAGCAATACATGTTAAAAAAGGATCTATGTATAACTGGATAGTTTTTGATTCCTTCAATAATCCAACCTATTTGTGAAAGCTAGATTTGCAACACTACTTTATGTCTGGTTACTTAAGAACATTAATTTGCTTTGAAACATAATCGATGCATACTCAATTATTAATAGTAAAGTTCAAGGGTATAATTTCATTTCTCATTTTTATTAGCGATGCATGAATTGCAACCTTGGCTAGCAATTTATACTTATCCATATAAATTCTTAAACAGGGCTTATGGTTTATGCAAAATGAATTATTCTACTCACATTTATATCTAAGTTCTACTTTTCAAGGTAGAACTTAAACTTATCCAAAATACATATCTGATTGATGAATACCTATATGATGCTGACCACAAGCGGCTAAAACATGTATATTCTCCTGTATCTCACTAGGATAGTATTTATCATTTCTGATACTGTATGGATATATGCGTATTAGCTCTCCTTGTTATAACTTTTATAGCAGAAGGTGCATAGATTTGTGATAAATCTTAACTTATAATGACTATATTTTGAATTCAAGTCTATTGTTCATAAGCAATATTGGTAACATTTCCTACCTCCTTTTAGTACTAGTTGCTATACTTAAAGGTTTTTTAGATGTACAGGTTATGTATTCTACCAATTGTATTGAACTCTTATAACCTCGTCTAAAAGATACTGGAGTAAGAGCTGCAACTCATTGCTACCCTTACATTGACATTTAATCAACTTATACTGTATTAAAGCTTGCTCAGTGTTTTTCTGATTCCGCAATTTGTTTGAGAGGTCAGCTGCAACTTATTGTTGTAATTTCTCTAGTCTATTTTCTTCATGAAAAGATGCTTGTAGTCCAATTTACCATTTCTTTAAAAAATGTATTACAAATTCTATTAATGTCCTTAATGCCTTAATTCGTAAGAGTGCGAGTAGATCTAATCTTAATTTTTTCCTTACGCTTGCATTACATCATCAAATCACTGTAAAAATTGGGAAATAATTGCATCATAATCTCTATAAAATTTATAAAATAGATTAATTTAAGATGGAGGAAAAGTCATATATTTATAAAAAACAAATTATTTGATAAGATATATAGATAGACAATGATTTATAAATAAGGATTTGACACCTCTATACATTTAAAGTTTAAATTCCAAAAATCCTTTTCATTTTAATTCATGAGAAAGTCTTTTAATGCAAAATTACTCATCAAATATTTTGATTAATGGGCTGCGAATTTTAATTTACTATTTGGGTGAGTGAATGAAAAAGATTTAAATTTATGAAATTCATGTAATCCCTATTTACTTTGTAATTAGTTTCTACATACATAAGTTTGAATAGTATAGATACACAGCAGCTGTTGCTGTAATTGTGATGAATTTGCTAAAGGATACTCTATTTAATGCCACTTTATGTGATGTAAATATATAACAAATGATAAAAATTAAAATTTGCCCTTCCATTTCTAAAATATGGTTCTAAAAATACAAAGAATTATAAAATGACCTCTGGTAAATATTAGAAAAATATTCATCTAAATAATACACGAAGTTAACAAGTTGCTTAAATTACTACCTACTATTATCAATTAATTTTAGTATAAAATTATAAATCCAAAAATGTAAAAGGTTATCCTTCTTATAAATTTTGGAAAAGACTTTAAATAAATAGTCTATGATGATAGAAATCTAATAAATCCTTAAATAAATAATTAATCGATAATATTTAATGGTGAAGTTAATGATTTATCTTTATATATTTAGATTTAAGAATCGTTTCTATTTTCATAGTGTTAAGTCAATCAAAATTATAGTTGCTGGATTCAATATATCTTATTCCCACTTCTATTTATTTATTAAAGGCGTCTTTCCAGTTGAAAATCAGTCTTTAGAGTTAATTTTTGATATCCACAATCATCCCTACAAATTGTCAATTTTTCACATCACTTGATTAATTCCTCAACATTTTTTCTTTGGTATCATTTTATAAATTCATAAAGGATCTTTGGGTATGGCTAATACTATAAATGATAAATTGTTTTTTGAGAATCCATACTAAAAATATAATAAGAATAGGAAAAATTTGCTTAATTATAATAATGTAATTAAATTTTGTCAGTGAGAAATTCATAGATTGAGCATCTGATTTGGTGTTGAAATTTAAATGACAAAATTTCTTATTTAAATCTTTATAAAAATAGTTTATTTTTTGTAATATCTCATACTAAAAATCATTTATTTATTAAAATACTCAACATAAGTAACCATCTCTAAAGTGATGGGCAATGTACAATAATTATTAATTTCTAATTGCTGTGCACCACTATACATAAAACCTAAAGTATTGAGAATGTTATAAAATGGTATTAATTAATTAACATAAATAAATCAAATAAATTTAACATTAATCAACAGTGAGATTTTATACTATTCATTTTCAAATATTTAATGCTTATAAGGATCCCTAAAATAGATTATGTAATTATTTACTTAATACTCCTCCAATCAATAAATTCATAACAGAAAATACAATATGGATCTAAATAATAATTAAACCAATGGAATGCTACTAAAACAATTGGTTATGTTTGAAAATAATTCTATTTGATCTATTCTTGTCCTAATCCTTACTTTACTCTTAAAAATATTATGCTAAAGCTTGGGAATTATCCTTATTATAGGATAAATCACAACTTATATAGATCAAAACCAGAAATGATTTCAATAAATCAAAATTTCAATTAGAAAGGTTTTTACATAAAAGAAATTAATATCAACTCTAAATATTGAACTCTCAAAATGATTTAATAACAAAATATTATTTATTGAAAATGAATGGATCAAATATCTAGGCTATAAAAACATTTTTTCATGTTCCTATTCTATAATATTGAGGAAATTATTTGATTTAATTATTTATTGATAATCAAAAGGCGTAGAAGGCTTATATTTTGATAATCGACATAGCCCAATCGGCAGTATTCCCTCCCCTGTTGTAAAATCTCAAACCTGATACCAATTAATCAGAAAATTTTTAAACATGTACATTAGGTTTGGTCCTAATTTCATCAAAAATGACTTTTTCAGTCTTTCTATCAGCTCCTATTGTAAAGATTTGCATGTCTTATTCTCTATCATCGAAGTCCCAAATCCAAAACCTTACAGTATTGATTTAATATGTTTATAAAAATTCCACTATTAATGATTCACCAATTCTGACAACAACATGTCCTTAATGAAGGTTTGGGTTTGTAGGGTAATAGTAGAGTAAATTTCTTAAAGGACTATTATCAATACCTGGTACCCAAAAAATAGTGGTTCTTGCTGAGGATAGAAGTGCTCCATTAAACTGCGAGCTACATCTTTGTAATTCCCCCTAAGAATAGAGGCTTCTCTTAAATTAGAAAGATCAGCTTAAGAAAACTTTGCATTAGCATCAGCAGCTGGCAATGGAGCAAAATCTGAGTACTCTAATAAAATAAACAGAAGCAATAGTTTCATTAAAAGTATTGGTCAATAAATTATAAAAAATTTATAGAATAAATTTTTAGAACAACAATCTAGAGTGGAGCTATAATTCATTTAAAGAAAATCAGAATTATTGATGTAGAAATAACTGAAAGTATTTTAAGTTTTTAGTTAAATAAAGTAAAGGTGATTATCCAGGTAATATTTAAAGTTTTTGAAATAGGTTATATTGAATAAACTTGTACCTGCACTATTGTTACCTATTGTTATTAAGTATTTGTTGTTCTTCTTATTTAATTGGCAAATGTTTTGGTTAGTTGTCTGAGAAACTTTTAACAAGAAGAATTAAAGAACTAGTTATTCTCACATTAGAATCTTGTGAATTTTCAGAATCAGAATACCTATTGCTAATCTGATGTAATATAATTGATTTTTCATGTTTTAATAACTTAAAAGATTATAATTTTGTCAATTGATTTCCTTTGATACAAATAGGATATAAAATATTCATGTTATTTTAGTACTATTGTAATTCTTTAATTCAGGAATCAGATAAGCATATTAGGTTGATATTATTTCTTTATTTACAACTCTTTATTCATCGAAATCTATATAAAGATATCTTCTTAATGAGTTGACTACATAATTTGCAAGCTAAGTATTATTGATTAGTGTTTGTCATATAAATTGAAGATTTTAAACTATTAGGATACTAAAATAGTCGAAGCTGGTAAATCTCTTAATTAATTATCTTCAGAAATCAAATAGTTTTAGCTTTTGTTAATACCTAATATATTTAATATTATTTCAAAAATATAGTTTAAGATTAATCCTCCGAATAATATTTAAGCATTCCTTTTCGATTATTAATTATCAATTATTACTAATTGTATTTATGATTTCATTGGTTATAGGTTTATTATTATGAATTTGGTAACCCTTTAAACATATAAAAATATAGAGGAATTCTGTACTTATGTTTAGGCATTGGTTTGAACATCTTTCTTAAATAATTAAAGATAGAAATATTCAATTCATTATTTGGGACTTGATTTTTTATGTACCTAAAGATTTTATTATACTCAAAGGTTTATTTATTCAGGTTTAAAAACTGGCTTGTAATCAATAACCTAAATTTAGGAATTTATTTGAGATGATCACTTTCAAAAGAACTTGAAATGTATATATATCTTAAATTTTTTTAATGAAAAAAATTTCATATCTCTAATGAAATAGAAGCATTCTTTCATATTCTAAGTTATTCATTACTTGGACCATATTTCTAGCTTCCTTTTAGATTAATTTAAGAATATAAAATCAATAATTTAATTAGCCATCAAACTTAACTTTTCTGATATTCTAGTTGTCCTTTGTATTAAATAATACTAGGTGTAAATATTCCATTTTTAAACCTTCCTTTTATTCATAAAGAATGAATTTTCTTGAATCTTCAATACTTTTTGTAAAATTCAAAAAATATCTTGTTTCTTGCTAAAGTTTACAACGTGGATAAAACTTTAATAATAGCTAGTGATTTAATAAATCCTATATTTTGTACTCATTTTGCGTATGCTTATTAGAAAATTTTGATTTGCTATCTATTTTATGTTAATATATAAGGAAAAAATTTATTGTTAATAATAATGAAATAGTGCAAAATACCAACATAAACATAGCTAGAATTCACTGTAAATACTGAAAAGGATATGGTTATATAGCTTAAGTATATCTGACTTATTTTTAAATGATAAACCAGCCGTGAGAAATGCTTCAATTATTATTATCTATTTAAGCATTCAATAACGTTTATAGTTTTCGTTTGAAGTTTTAATCTAAGGTATTGTTTTTCAATAATTTAAGGTATGATTAACTCCCCAATTTACAAGGTAATAAAACTCCTGAAATATTCTATGGCTTATGACTCTTCAATATGCTTACATTAAAAATATTTCATGAATGTCAAATCTTGCCCACTCTGTTAAGCTTTTTTAGAAATCCTTATTTACACATGTTCATATATTTTTCTCTAAAACTCTCAGTAAGGAGGACCCTTGCTCAAAGGAAGTAAATTCATCACCTGCATAGATTCTTTTCTTTTTGCGTTTCATTTGTTTTAATAAAATTTTATCAATAATTCAAAAATTCAAAGAGGCCAGATATTCTCCTCGATTAGATTGTTTTCAAGTCAATATTTTCAAAGCTAGAAGTTAGATTTTTAATAGAAATTGTTTTATGCGAAAGATGGAAAATATATTGTTGTTGATCAAGTATATGACGTCTAGATTTCTTAAATTATCAATATTTCTCCATTTATTCAAATATATTCTTTAAACTATTTGATTATCATAGAACTGCTGTTGAGAATTCTATTGTATAAATTTGTAAATGATCTATTCTTACATAAATTCTACAAATCACATAATTTGTTGTCAAGGTATAAAATCATTATCATATACATCATTAGTAGAATGAATAATTTTACTATAAATGTCGAATGATTATTAGTTTAATTACTTAAAAGTGAAAATGAAAGCTAAAATATCAAAAAACTAAAAAACTAATATTCTCTTAAAAAACTATACTCCGTTTAATACTAACTTTATTTTTTAGAATTATTTCTGACATGATCTATTTTAGTTACATAATCTATATTATTTTCATAAAGTTATAAATCCAATAATAAATTACAGTTATCTGATTTAAAGAATGATTTTCAAATTTCAAGAAATATATTTTTAATAACTTTTGGGGTGGAATTTTAGCTCTTTTAATATTGACAATTCAAATGCTACAAATAAAGGTTTTTTGTTGGACTTTGCTGAGAAGGATAACAGAAAGGACAAAGATTTCTTTATGACATTAAATGATGTTAATTACCGAAAAAGTTTGGATAGAAAAAATTACATAAAGGGGAAATAGTTAGGATATTAATATAGTTGTACACAATATACACACATAAAGGATATGAGTTTTCCTTATATAAATAATTTTTCCGCCATGCTCACCTACCCTCAATCCAATTGAGAAAGTTTGGAATAATTTAAAAAACTATGTTTATAAGTAAATAATCATTGAATCTTTCTTTTCCAACCTCAATTCAGAAATTATTGAAAAGCATCTCATGTACATGTATTCCAAATTAAGGATACGTTTTTATAAGATTGATGGGTAATGAATCATATATTTATTCAAAAAAGTATAATTCAGAACAATGCCTTGAGTGGCGACATCAAATCAGATAAATGTATTTTTTTCATTATTAACAACAATTTTTATTTCATTGAAGTTGTTCTTTTCTGGATTGAGTTTGAGAAAACTCTCCATTTTATTCCAACTTACACTGATGATTGAAGTTTCCTTTAATTAACTTGTTCATTCTTTATTGACTTGAATCTTTAAGGGTATCTAATATCAAAAATAATTTCTTTTGTACAAATGTGTATGAAAATGTGAAATATGTATGTTCGATGATTGATTCTAATATGTTGCCTCACTCACTATCTTAAACATTCAGAGTATTTAGAGTGTATTGAAAATATTTTTAAATAATAAGGTTGTATAAGTTTAAAGCTCACATATCAAATATTAAATTATTCTTCTAAATTCAATATAAACACCACATCAAAGAATTTGAATGATAATATTTACAAATCATAAATGAATTGAAAAAGATTATTAATAAATATGCATAAATAGAGAAATCTCCATATTTACATGTGACTGAAAATACTTATAAAATACAACTTAATATTGATATTATTATTCCGGTTATTTTCAGATATACATGCCAGTAGGAATGATGTTACTATTCGTCCATGGCTTGCATCGTAACAAAATAGCAGCATTTTATTATTAATTCCTAATTTTGCGGATTTTATTTCTCAAACCAGAATCATTCAAGTATAAATTGACAATGATTAATTAGATGAAAATATTTGAAATAGAATAATTCTTTTATATTTATTCGAGTTAATCTATGGGTTTTTATTATTTATTTTATTAATTATGTCCGTAGCCAACTTACCAAAAGAAGGAGCCAATAAAGGAAAGTTATACCTTTCGAACTTCCATGCCCTGAAGGTTGTGTATGTTAATCTTAAATTTCAAAGCTTGGTTTTGTTAATTTGGAAGTGCTTTGTTTCTAAGTGAATTTTGTGATATCTTTTGAGAAAATCACCTAGTGAAATGTTCAGGAAAATTTATTATGGATAATTTTTTTAATGTCATAAGACAAAACAATCTAACAAGAGTTATTAATTTAAGGGTCGCTCCAAATTGCTTTTGGAACTATCAAAAAGCATGTAATCGCTAGAATCGATGGGTGATAAAGTACATAGATGTTGAAATTATATCGTTTATTATCAATAAATTAACAATTATAATAAGTTTTGATAGAATAAATATCTAATTCTTACACTAATAACAATTTAATTTAAGTAGAAATATGGTTTTGACATAATTTAATTTTCTTAAAATAACTCAATTATATTCTCATTAAAAAGTTGTAGTCGAACAGATTTTTCACATGAAATAGATTATTTCTCTATGGATCTCATCGATGAAGCTCAGCTGTCCTTCTCTAACAATCTGATGACCTAAGATGGATGTAGTGATTTTATTTCTCTGCTACCCAAGATAATGAAACTATAATAATAATTCAATAAATACAAATTGTAACATTAAATTTTACTTAATTTTATTTTTAGAAATAATTTGTTTACTATTACTTCTAGAAAATAAGAGATTGATAAAATTAAATTAAAATAATGCATCCACATATGTCCAACAATTTAAAAAAAATCAATTTCAACACATATAATGCTTGATTAATTTTCAAATTTAAATTCAATATCATTAGATTTGAAACTTTACATCAATTTTATAATTAATGAATTTTTCTAGCAAATAGCTATCCTGCTGAATACATTTGTAAATGATTTGTTCATAATCAATAATATTCCATTAACATCACATTAATTCTAAAGGCATCATTAGAAATTGTAGATTAGCGTATTAAAAAAAACTAAATAGTGACTTTTGTAATCAAATTCATAAAGGAAAACAAAAATCAGAATTAGGAATGAAAGTTAAAAATTAGTTACAATTTAAAAGCAAAACCAAAAATAGCGTGAGCACTAAAATATAGTTTAGATCGTTTGTTATATTATGCAAATGAATTGAAGCAGCATCATTTATTATTTCAAATCATTAATCTAAATTATCCATTATATATTAAAGATTTTTTGAAATTAATAGTTGATAATTTATTATCATTCAAATTAAATGTGAGAACCACAGATAAGCTTCAAATAATTATTTAATTTTCAAGAGAAAATATCATATCTAATAAAACAAGAACAGGGCATTGTCTTACTTTTTGTTACTTGATAAAAATGGAGTCAAAATTAAAAGTAAACACATGATTATTTTAGGCTTTTTTTGTTATTTGAATATATTTTTAATTTAAAATCATTGTTATTCAATTTATAATAAAAGGATTTAGTTGGGATGATTAGAACAAAATTAGATTGCATACTTAACAATTTGTATGTAAATAAAGAATAAAACTTATCAATATTTCTTATATCCAAGTATTGGGATGTAATACATTAGGAGAATTGAGAGAATTTGAAGAATACTTCCTAAGGAAATATTAGAGTAATTAATTTTAAATAAATTGAATTGTTCAGTTAATACAAAGATATCCAATATTTTGTGAGTAATAGTCCTTCGGCATAATTGCAGAAAGTAGTAAATAAGTGATTTAAACAATAATATTGATTTTGTTGATTAATTTTGGGAGGTTGAGAATAGATCCTAATTATGAGAGGGATGTGAAGTTTTCCTACTTTTGGAATAAAGACTCTAGAGAACAATTGATATAAGGATTGACCGAGATAATGAAGGAGCGAGAGTTGTCAATAGTTTTGGCTTAGAATTGTGTTTATTGTGATTTGAAAACCCTTCAAAGCCAAGAATTGTATTGCAAATTCCTTGTTAGAATTCCTTTTATAGTATCTCATCAGTGTCGATAGAGAATAAATTTGTTTAAGAGATCATTGATATAGATTAGAATTATATTTTTATATATTATAAATTTAACTATCAGAATGCTCGAAAATAATAATAATGCCTTTATGAGTTGTAGTGTTTTTAAGAGAGTGGTATTTTGAGAGAATGTGGAGAAAGGTTTTAATATGTGATTTGATATAATACCTAAGGGCTTGATATGTAAGATATACTTAGGTATATTGATGTCGGCTGCTGATCCAAAATTATATTATCCATCCTGTTGCATTTTATCAAGGGAAGCGGGCAATAAACTTCAACAAATAAATACTTGGCTTATATAAATAATACAAGATTAGGGGAAAAAATTGCAAGGGTAGGATTAATTTATGGCACAATCTGAAAGAGTGATAAATTCAGGGGTTCCTTCAATGGCCATAGAGCCAAGTTAGACAACTTGTATGAGGTAGATGCCTTAATTTTTATAAGTAAATACAGTAACAAAAATAAAAATGATATTGAAATAATAATTTTTTTTAAATTTTC